CCATATTTGCAATGCATGTATTTTGGGATTTTTTGTAGTCCACTTAGAATCCAACATGCAAAGCATTTTTGTTATTGCTATTGATTGTTTTGAAATTCAAATGGCACTTACATGCCTGTGTTTTTATTTCTGTAATAAATATGGCTTTTTGCGATTTAATCATAATTAATTACAAAAAAATTTGATTAATTACTTATTTTTCAAATCAATTGACAGCCTTAACATAAACATAATTTCCAGGGCTAAGGACAATTAAGAACAAAGATATTAGTTTCAAAACCAGAGAGATTTTACACAAAACAGTTTACTTGGAACTGTTAGGCTGTTCAGGTATGATTTAAGGTTGGGTATGGATGGGACGTGTAGTTCAAAATAACATCTTCAGTTATTCATACAGAATATGAATATGAATATATCTAATATATTGCATAACCATTAAGGCGTTATTAGATGTGTTTGCACTGTTTAAACAGCTTTTTTTTCAGGATTGGGATAGGCTATATATTTTCCAAATTTAAATTATTACTGGTTCTTTATTATAGATTTCACAATTAGTCGTTTTAAAATAAAGTTTAAGATTGATTTATTTAGTATCCTATATTTATTCAATAAGAGATTTAGAAAGTATATTTAAAGAGTATATTTACCTTCGTCTGACCTCACTGCTCCGCTTTCAGATGTACATACAGCTGGCAGAGGACGATAAAGTCCGTTACAAGAATGAAATCAAATCGTGGGAGGAGCACATGATGGAGATCGGAAGAGAAGATCTTTTGCGGAGAAAGACGAAGAGCGCCCTCAAAGCCAAAGCCAAAACCAAAACCATAGCCACTAAAAACAGGAAAAAGACATCCAAAGTGACAGTGATAAAGGCAAAAGCGCCCAAAAAGAAGAAAGATGCTAGTGGAAAAGCTGTGTATTTCTAGGACTCTGATCAACAGAGTGTGTTGTATAAAAACCACAACCGTCCTCAATACAGTCTGCGCTTTTCCGTTCTTAGAGCTGCATTTATATAGTGTTCATGAAGGTTTGAAAACTGTGAAGATGCCTTCTTCATCTTTTCAATAAATTCCTCTTTTTGCTGGTTTTTCTGAATCATGCAAGCGATATTTGACCTCACCATGACTGCTTTCATAGTATTATATTGTATAAAGTGATATAACATTTCTTAAATTGTACTTTACTGACACGCGTTTGCTTAGAATGAGTTTGCTTTAAAAGAGGACGCCATGTTGTTTGTATGTCTTTACTTACAAAATAAACATCCACTTTTTCTATAAAAGCAACAAGGAATTCACGACAATAATATACAACTAATTAAACAGATATTGTAAATGTGCTTTCTAAAGATAACCCTTGTGCATTGTTCAAATGGACTACCCTTTCATTATGTTGGAGGCTGTTTTTGCCCCATTGACTTCCAATATAATGACTTTATTGATTGCAAAGCCATGACAGCATATAGTCATGCATTCTTGAATGTTGCTGGTTTTAAGACCAGAGGTAGAATTGGTCATTTTTACTTTTGATAATCACTTAGCAGCATTAACCCTTTATATAGGCCTGTGCAACAAAAGTTTCTGGCTTTTAAAGGTAGTTTTATGGAGTAAACAGCAAAATATATGCATGCAAAAACACACTATCAGCTTGCTTAATCATAATGTTTGCAATAATGTGTATGGTGTACACGACAGTCTCTGGACTTGCTGGCTCCAAACACTGTATCAAACTGTATGAAGAGACTCATCAAATGGTAATAATTAACGCTTACAAAGCGCTGTAATACTTATGAAAATCGCTATCTATC